GGAAGGGAGATTAAAAAAGCAGGAAAGGTTGCCATATTCCGTCAATTTTCAATCTTGAAAACCTTTCGAACTTAGGAAAATATTGTAAGAAGTGACTCAATTCAGTACGCTTTATGGCAATACCTGTGTCAGATTATTCAGTCATATATATGAAATTTTGCAAAAATCAAACATTGGTTATTTTTTGTGATTTTGCTATTCTTTACTTTTTATAAGAACTTGGTCATAATTAGTTCCTGCTCTGTACTACTTGCCATAGATGCGGTGCTGTGTACTTTAAAAACATACACATACAAAAGCAATTAATGATGTAAAGTTGTATTATTTCCTCAAAGTTAACCTGCTTTTTTAGAATTCATTTATCTATCTCCTCAGGCTTTCTCACAATTTCTTCCCCTTCTAACCATTTTTTTACGATCCCGTGACTCAAACTGGGAAGTAATTCGTAGTAAAATGTTGAAAAAAATTTAATTTAAGGGAGTAAAGAACTTTGAGGTGTACTATCGAAATGTCAATACTCAATAACCCAACAATTCCTTCTTCTTTGCAGAATCATCCTTATCGGCTTTAATCCGGAAATACGACGTCATCTTGTTGGCGTGAAGCACTTTTTCAAGTTTTTGAAGAATCCAACTAGTGGTATTATACTGCAATTGGCAAGTCAGCTGACTTCATCAAGAAATTAGATCTTGATTGGATTTCTACAGTCTGTCTCAACTTGGGTCAAGTTGAAAGCTAACCTCTGTTATGCGAACAAGGACAAGGAGGAAGAAGAATTAAATTTGATCAAATAAGAAAAAAAAACAAATATGGATTTGTGAGATGTGTGTTTTTGATACAATTTTGTCGGTGGATGATAGTCAACCGTTGAAATTTGGATGCTCATGTAATATTCGAAGTTGATAAAGATTTGTTTTAACGTCTATGATAAATATAGAAAAAAGAGTAAGTGCTAAAGTTCGTGGTGCTTTCATTTTGATTATTCTGATCATCTAATAGTAAATTAGAAGTTGAATTGAAGTGCAGAAGCGCTTTTTAAGCACTTTAATTCTAGCGGACTTTCACTAAACTAGTCCTGTTTCTTTCTTTGAATGAACATTGGAGACGATGTAAAGTATTGGGGAAGATCGAAACAATGTCTTGGATAAAAATGTTCCTTTTGCTTTTCTTCGCAAAAACGTTTAGCTTGTCTGGAGTCCAGTTGCTGGGCTATGATTTCACGTGTTTTATATACATTTTTTCATTTATGCAGATATTAAGTTGTATCCGAAACAAGTTTGAGTCGTACAGTAAACATCAACACAGGGAAGGCAGCTTCACAGTAATTTGCTTGTCCTCTCTGTCTTGAGCCTTGGCATATAGCGGAATGTCCTAATATATTTGCCAATAGAGTTCTGAACGAAATCTTTCATTACACCGATCATGTACGTTTCGACTAATCATTTTCCTGAGAGGCCTTCAGCGCAGGGAGACGGTATAAGTGCGTCCCTAGAGCACTGGCATGAATCAGGCCAATAAAGAATTACTCATGGGTGTATCAGCCGCGAGAAACCGCCGCACGTCAGGAGCACAAGACCGCTTCCTCCTGCTGTTTTTATCTTCCGAACACATCCAGATAGTAGAGTCTTTTGCAATTAGATTAATGCGCAATATACGCTGCTCGTACAATGTATCGACCCATCCAATACACACCTCTCTCGCGTCCTTTTGTCATGAGCAAAGTCTCCCTCAGATTAACCTCAAAGCGACAGGAAATTGTTTAGGGTCAGCACGAGCATATTTCCTTAGATGGTGCCTCTCCGCTTATGTTTTGAAATTGGCACTTAGACGGGCTTTTCGAAACTTTGCTCATTGACTAATAGGGTGCTACTTGCTCGCTAATTTACCAGTTGATTTGATTGTCTACTTGTTTCTTCATATAATAAATAATGGTTTTTAAAGCAGGCATCTGAGTACTGACTACGTTTGGTAACTACATTAAGACTGCAGATTTACATATTTGACGCTAGGAGAAGAAAGAAGGGAGGGGCTTTGAAATACACCCGCAACTTCTGCACTTCCGCTTCCTCCCTAGGCTTTTAGTGTCCATTAATCATTTTTTGGTCAAGTAATGGTTTTAACCTTCAGTGTTGCCCAAAATCTAAGTATACAAGCACCTACACGACACAAGATTTGAGAGAGGGGTTGAAAGGAGATGATAATGTGAGATTAACGACAGCAATCAAGCCCTCTTGAAAAACGAAATCTGAGATGCTAATCATGGCCCGTAGTAAAGTCCCCCCAGCGGAGATCACCTGAAGACAGGGTCAGGTGAACTTACTCCAAGGCAGGCAAGGTACAGGGGAACAATTGATTGCAGATCTATGGCATTTGCAATTAACTCGCGTCAAATATTGGTGGTTCAGTGGTTGGGATGGCGACCACTGAGCAATTGACCATGATTCGAATCCGCTCAGTGGTAAACCCTTTTGCCAATGTGTAGGAGTTACATGAAGGAACATAGGTGCACCTTAACGTTGTAGACAGAACGGTTTCAAACCAAATCATTGATTAGGAGCGAATCTTGGGCAAATCACTAGCAAAAGTGTGCACTTTTGGGTCGGTGATACTTCGCATTTAGCGCAAGAGTACATATCGTCAGGGGAGCTCGTAAGTTGGTTCCGAGCAACATACGAGTGCCCACGACGGACTCTCGTAAAACACACACTATTTCCTTTGTATGACCCGTCAGGAGAACTCTCTCTTTAGGGGCACAGTTCATCTCATCGCAGAACCTCGCATGACTGTGATCCGTCCGCGTACTTTGTATCCTTGTACTATAGCGGAGGGATTGTGATCAGGTGAACTCGGTGGAGTTGGATTAGCCCCGTCAGGTCAGATCATCTCACCTGATGGGAAGTTGGGCCCATACCTTCTATAAAACTGAGCAAGGCTGGATGGCCAGCTAATAGTATGCAATATATAGTCAAGTTTTTATATGGTTGATAATGTGATAACATTCAACATTTTTATCCTATTCGTTCCTGTCTTTAGACGGATTTCTTCTCGTTTCTGAGTCTTTCGTGGAACTCCCCAATAAGGGTAGAAGAATAAATAAAATCAAAATTCAAAACCCAGCTTATATCTTTTCATAATATATTTCACCTAAGTGTATTTTCAGATGAAGACCAAATTTCTTTTCTACCATTTTTTACTTATATGAATGAAAGTATTAAAGCAGAAAAGATATGGATTGGAAAGCAAGAGGCTTTAAGCGGTGTTTTTTTATCATTTTAAAGCAAGGAAAGTCGATATGGTAAAAAATAGTCAAATGTAGTAGAAGATACAGGAGCATCAAATTGTTTGTAGAGGGAGAAAGAAAATCAACTGATCTCTCTCAGAGACAAAGTAGCAAGTTTTGTCAAATTGCAATAGCTGCGTCAGAGAGTCCTCTCTGGATTTCTAGAAAGCTTTTTGTTGAAGTCAAATGCAGTTTTTAGTTGCTCTGAAAGTATACTTGAAGACTCACCTTTTTTGGTAAGAGGGTGTTTCGACGGCTCCTTAAATAAACTACTAGAGAGTCCCGAAATACTTCAGTAAGTTGCAGATTTTGTACATAGTTGTAATTGTTAAAAATTCATGAAGGACTAATGGCTACAAACAAAAAACGTTTGCATTCTGTTAAAGAAGAGACAACATAATTTGATCATAAAGAAAAGGTCCTTTTACACTTGTAATCCAAGAAATTAGTCTGTGTCTTTTAAAATCTTTCAAAAGGCTTATCGCAAAGTAATAAAGATTGCACTTGTGCTTAATCTTCACTAAACTTTTGAGGATAAGAGGATTTTGTGCCATATAACATTATTTCCCCATTGCACAATGGAATTACCTTCCTACTAGTCACATCGCCACAGCAGCTGTTTACCGTGCGTTGCCATGGTGAGCCTTTCTGCAGGATAGCGAGTCAGCCACATTTTTTACCATTAATAGAAGCACTCTTTACTGTCCTAATGACATCATGCAATTGTTGAACTCCGCCGTAAACTA